TACTATCGTTAGAATCAGAAAAACCTGCTTTACAATTTTGCTTAAAGGTTTAAAGACAGTTAAGTTAGTAAAAAAAAATTTTAATATTAGGCCACACAAATAAAATTATTCGTTTCTTATTCATATAAATGGTAAAAAATAACCCGGCCGTCCGGGAAATAATTTTATTTTCAAAAAAAAATTAACCGATTTCTAAAATATGATTGGTTAAAAAGAACCATAATATTTTTCCACCCGGCAATCTAGAAAAAAATTTTTACTATAATAAATTTTTTCCTATCCGGAGACCTGGGAAAAAAATTTATTATTTTTACTGAACAAATCCTTTTTTTCTAGAGCATACCGAAAATGTGTACGTGCAAGGTTGGTAGATAAAATTCTTAAGATTCATTATGGTTAGGTTAGGGTCAAGGTTAAGATCTAGAGAAAAATAGGTTGTAAAGTAAAATTGTTCAACGAAAACTTTTTATTAGAACACAAATAGTGGTTTTTTATGCTGATCAAAAAGATTCCAAAAATCGCTCATAGCTCAAAAATCATGTTACAATTACACCTAATCTTGAAATCTGATTCGTTGTTTAGGAGAGCTGCACCACCAACCTTATACATATGCTATTTACATTATATAGTATGTATGTACGTACGTTGGTCTCCGGTGTTCGCAAGCTAATAGAACTCCTGTGATTCTATATAGAATGATTGATTATTCACTTGCAGTAGTAATTAGTGAAGAAAATTGCTCTTTATATAGTGTTCACCCACAACCTATTGTGCAATGGATTGTTAATGATAATACAACCAATATCCCTAAATCTTTACCAGCTGTGAATAAAGTGTAACTCTTTTAAGCATTCGTAATTTAGTCTTCCACATAAGTTTATTCCTTATTTCCATTACTAACATACTGAAATACTTTAAAATATTCATTTTTTCTTGATTTTGAGTTATTCTATATATTGTAAATGTACTATTATTTAATTTACATTTCATAATCTAAATTTTAAAAGCAGTAAATTAACTTTCTTTAAAAAATTAAAATTCTTTTCCTTAGAACTGGCCAATGTCTTGAGCGAAATGAAGCCAAATTGTATAATCAATCACAACCATCAACTTTTTGTATACCATCTAACCAGGTTACTGAATGTAAGAGCTGAATTTACCTTTGTCAATTTATTTAACATCAGATAATTTATTGAACAAAACTTAATCAATTACATTCTTATAATTAATTAGCTAATATATTTAATGTTACTATTTACAATAAAGAACAAGAAGGGTGCTATCATTTTAAAGATATACCTTTCAAATTTGATCTAATTTATCGTGCAAGCCTTGAAGATTTTAGCATTGATAAGTTCCATAGCAAATACGATAATAAAGGACCAACAGTTGTTATAATTAAAGTTCAAAACTCAGGAGAAATCATTGGTGGATATAATCTATTAAATTGGCATAGTACAGATTTTGAGATAAGATGATAAAAAAAATAGGGACCCAGAGAATGGAAACAAGCACTCAACAGATATATATATATATTATACCTGAATTGGAATCATCTGATTCAGAATTCAAACAGTATCGGATGAGAATTTTGTAATTTCAACTCAATTCCAACTCTAGCCTAATCATAAAGTCTTGATTTAGTCACAAAATTCTCATCTGGAACAGCCGAATTCTGAATAGGAAAATTCTAATCTGGGTACAGCAAGCGTATCAAACTATTGTTAAAATTCATGGTTTGATTTAGGTTTGAGCCCGGGTTTGATCAAACCCAAACTGAACCCAAATCAAATCTAGGAACATCTACTACTGTATTCAATAACCTGCACAAAAAATTTAGATCAATGAAAAGCATTGCACACATATGTAGGCTCAGGTACAAATCTTTCTTATATCTACTACTGACAATGCAATATTGTTAACGTTAATGATTTTATCATGATTCTTAATTAGGCAGTTCATTAACTCCTTTCACTTATCTGATTTCACATTTCTCTCATGCTACTTAATTGAATCCCTAATTAGGATTAACGACTACCTTCAAGCTTGACCGGTTTCTTTCAGCATATCTCTGTTGACTTACGTCAACTTGAATTAGTACTGTAATACAAAATTACCCTTTAACTATAATTGTAATAAGTGTAGATTTAAAATACAGTATCGGTAAAAAATTTTTTCTTCAAAAATAAAATGCCTTCTGTATTGAAAGCGAAAGTGGGGAATTTATTAAAGGATGAATTTGTTAATGTTAATATTCAATGTAATTTGAATGAGATTTTACAAACATTTGGAAATTTTGTTTTATTTGAATTACTAATTCTGGAAGATTATCAACTACTTATACAAAAAGAAAAGGATGCATTTAAAGAACTTATGTCTAATGCTACTCAAATTTCTTTACCTTTTTTTCAATTACTAAAAAAACCAAACAAAAAAGATTTATTATGTCAAAATATAGTAGAATGGATAAGAAATAATGGTGGAGGTTGGAATAGAAGATTGGCAACAGAATCTACTGGAAAATCCTTTATAAATGATTTATTAAATGCTATATGATATATAGATACTTGTGGTATTGAAAAGATGAAAGTAAGAGCAATATATCCTCCTAAAGAATTTGAGAAATTTTTTAATAGATCAGATCCATCAAGTTATAAAAATGCTAGGCCGCAATTTGATTATGATTGTGTGAATAGATATACAAATTTGCTTTTTGGACATTTGAATATACCATAGATAGAAAAATCTCAATTTACTTGGTTATTTCCTTTATTAGAAAAATTTTCTAAATGTTTAGTTGAATATTCTACATATTTGCATGAACAAAATATTGAAATAAGCAAAAATCATCAATTAGAAATTCCAGTTAGATTATTAGATGATTCTATTAGCATTAAAGTTTATGATGGTATTAGTTTTTTTTTAAACCCCTAAACTAAATCTGATTATGATAGTTTAAATAATAAACTATCTACTTTATCTTATTGGGAATCATTAGATATTGAACTATTTATGTCTTCAGAACCAAGATAAATATGTGAAGCAAAATTATTAATTTAAAATTATCTATACTAATAATATATTATATATTATTTAGAAAAAAATATACTTTTATTTATAATTTGCCTGATAATATTAGTCATAAATTT